CGCTGGGAAACCGACTGTCCTCAGGGTGGACAAGTCAGCCATCACAGTCGCCGAGGGCATGGGGTGGACGGGCAACCTCAAGCACGTGGAGCGGCGACAGGCCTGGCTGCAGCACATGGTGAAGTGCGGGAAGTTTTCGCTGAAGTACATCCCGACCGCTGAGCAGCCAGCCGACTTCCTGACGAAGGCGCTGCATTACCCGGCCTTCAACCGGTGCTCCGTTGCAATCGGCCAAGTGCGCCTGGCCGATGTGGGTGACGGTGACAACGACGTGCAGCAGTAGGTGCCATGCCCTTTTGCATGGCTGGTGCGGTGACCAGCGTGCTGTGCGTTGTGTGCACGCCGACGGGCTATTCTCCGAGAAGTACTGCCGTGTGGGCCGAGGGGGAGGGCCCAAGCGTGAACGCGGCAGGGGAGTGTCAACGGGAGTTGTGTTTGGCCCCGTCCTCGCTTGGGCGGAGCCGTCCGTGGGAGCCACGAAATCGTGATGGTCCGTGGGAGCCACGAAATCGTGGTAGTCCGTGGGAGCCACGAAATCGTGGTGGTCCGTGGGAGCCACGAAACCGTGGTTGTCCGCGGGAGCCACGAAATCACGGAGGACCGTGGAGCCACGAAATCGTGGGGGACCGCGGAGCCACGAAATCGTGGGGAACCGAGGAGCCACGAAATCGGGGGGACCGCGGAGCCACGAACTCACGGGGGATCGTGGATCCACGAAACCGCGGAAGACCGCGGTGACCGAGAAACCACGGGAGGACCGCAAAGTACCCGGTCAACCAGGATACCCGGGCGACGTACGCGAAAGTCGCCGGGGATGTTATCTACGATGGCGATCTCGGGGGTGGTATCTCGAGGTCGACGTGGCTGGTGGGCGCCGTCACGGGTGGAGTGTCTGCGCTGGGCATGTGATGGGGAGTTGGGCGCCAACCAGCTGCACGCACCCGCGAAGCTGGTGCACCGTTGTCCCGCGGATGCGACGCTGTGCAGCCGACCAAGTCGTGCTGGCACGCGGTCGACCGTGCTGCGCTGGCAGAGGACCAGCAAGCCTTGCTAGGTCTGATGTAGTCAGTGTTGTCAATGTTGATGTAATCATTCTGGACCTTTGTTGTTATGTTTTCCTAGTGAAACTGTTGCCAATTTTCCCCGTGAACTAGCAAGCAGTGTTAGCAATTGGAAACGACTAAGGAACCAACGAACGCAGAGATCACACGAGCATCCGTGCCTTGCCCGTAGTCTATCTCCCGTTGCACAAGTTATCTCCGCACAGTGCAGTTTAGACTTAAGACTGTGCTGATCATCACCACTGACTGCACCTTGCTGATACCTTCACCAAGGCCCTTGGGCATGTTGATCATTAATGCCGTGTCGGTTCTATTGAACTTTGAGCTCCATCATTTGCATTACGAATCGAATCACCATCTGTGAATGGGTGTGCGAGTTGGTCCACTATCTCTTTTAGAATGTGTATCACATGTATCGTGTGTGATATCCTACTTCGGTGCCAAAGTAAGTGGGGTGAGAAATTATCATGTCTTTTCTCTCCGACAAGTAGAGATTTCAGCCAATCTCAATGGAAATTGTTTTTCAATGCATGTAGGCCCTAAGCTGCATCTATATAATCAGCCATTCCAGCTTAGGTTCCCGTGATCTTTGTGGTTTCCCTCTTCCCTCTTCCCTCCATCTATCTTTAGTCAGACCCAGGCAACTACTGGCTGCGACCCCTTTCCCTCTTTCCATTGTCTTTACAATCGAACCAATCTTACAATCTTACCTTCCAGTGTCCTTTTGAAATTGAACCTGTCCCTCCTGTGTCAGGCCCAGGCAATTATGCTATTGGCTGGATCAAGCACCACCTCCTCCTCCTTCCCTCTCCCCCCCAACCTCCTCACGGCTCAACACTCCTCCATCTCCACCCCTCGCAGCCCTCTCCCTTCTCCCTCCACCCTCACTCCCCCACACCCCTCCTCTCTCCCTTCACCAAGCCACCCTCACTCACCAGCCTCTGGTCCTTCCTCCTCCTCTGCCCAGTTCCTTTCAGCGCTGCTCCCTGCCCTGCCTCTCTCCTCCCTCCCCTATCCCTCTGCTCCTTCAGTCTCTTCTCTGTCCGCCGCTCCCTTCTCGCCGCCCTCTGCTGCGCCCTTCTTGTCTCCTTCTGCTGCTGCCTTCTCTTCTTCCTCTGCTCTTTCCCTCGCCTCCTTGCCGTCTCACCCTTTGAGATCAATGGATAAGCAAGAGAGGGGGAGGGGAAGGGGAAGGGGGGAAAGCGTTGGTGGTGGGGATAGTGACAGCCGTGGTGACGCTGCTGCGGGTAGCGGGGGTGGTACTGGTGGTGATGATGATGGTGGTGATCTGGCAAGAGAACAAGCGTCTATTCAACAACAGTTGCACCGCCAGTATTGGCAGCAGGAACATCTGCGGCAGCAGCACCAACAACATCAACAGCAGCAGCAGCAGCAGCAGCAGCAACAACAGCAGCAGCAACAGCAACAGCACCACCAACAGGAACAACAGCAGCGGCAGCAGCAGCAGCAGCACCACCACCACCACCACCAACATCCATCTGCCAGCATCCCCTCTCACTCGCTCTCTCACTCTCCCTCTCCTCCCCGGGCCCACTTCCACACCTCCCCCTCACCTTCACCTTCCATTGCACCCACTTCCCTTGCACCCACCGTGCATGTGTACGTTCAGTACCCAGGTGCCCACCTGCCTCCGTCCTCCTGGCCTTCAGTCCAAATCTCAACAGCTGCAGGGACAGCAGCAGCAGCACCCGCAGCAGCAGGTGCAGTATCACCTGCACCAGCAACAGCACAACCACAGCACCCGCCACCACCACCACTGCCACTGCCACCACCATCCACAGCAGCAGCAGCTGTAGCAGGAGAAGCGGCAGGTTGGCATTTCACACCCCGGCAGTTGCCACCATCCCTCAAGCATAGCATGTCTCTAGAGGAGCTGGGAGGAGCCGGAGGAGGAGTTGGGGGAGGAGGGGGAGGAGGGGGAGGAGGGGGAGGAGGGGGAGGAGTGGTAGGAGGGGTAGGAGGGGAAGGAGGGGGAGTTAGGGGAGAAAGAGAGGAGCAGAAAGGAGGGGGAACTAAAGTGACTGCGAGAGTGACTGAGAGGGAGAGAAGAGGCATGGCTGATGGGAGTGGGAGTGGGAGCATGAGTGGGAGTGGGAGTGGGGGTGGGAGCAGGAGTGGGAGCGGGAGCGGGAGTGGAGGGAGGGGGGGTAGTGGAGGGAGTGGGGGTAGTGGCGGTAGTGGGAGCCGTGCATATGCAACAATGAATAAAGGTAAGATTCTTACTAGTGCACGGCTCCCACTAGTGGCGGTAGTGGGAGCCGTGCATATGCAGATTCTTACACTCATTCATGTCTCTTTTGAAAAAAGGAGTGTTTTGAGACGTCTCAAGACACTCCTTTTTTCACGCAGATTCTTACACTCGTTCATGCCTCTTTTGTCCATTTCTTTCTTCTTTGTTGTCGTCGGGGGTATTATTCTTGTGTCTAACGCTCCTCTGTGTTATTCGCATGGTTGTTACAAAGAGCTCCCTCCGGCGTCGGGGAGGCAGGCATCGATTGCTCGATACAAGGAGAAGAAGGAAAGGTGAGATGTGATATGGATTACAGCTGTAATGGAAATTAGTAGCTACTTATTTGAGAGGCTATTCAAGCTGAGGAGGAGGAGATAACAATGTACGATGTAACCTTCTGTTTTCTTTTATTTTCTTTGCAATGGTTTCAGGACTAAATCAAGGTTACACGTGTCATCTCGACGCGGTAACCCTCGATCATCGTCACCATCGCCTCCCGTTTCTCAGTCCCCTGCTTCAAGCACCATGGCTCACAGTCGGCACACTGTGAGCACTGTGCCTTTAGAGCTAAGGGAGCTGCTGCACCAGCAGTTTCAGCAACAGCAATTACAGCAGCAGCAGCAGCAGCAGCAGCAGCAGCAGCAGCAGCAGCAGCAGCAACAGCGACAACAGCAGCCAGTGCAACAAGTCCAGCAGGGTCACTATCCCCAGTACCAACAACATGTGTCACAGTCACAGCAACAAATACAGGGGCAAGTGTTACAGGAGCAGCAGCAACAGCAACAGCGCCAAGCTTCTGCAGTTTCGTTTCACAGTGGTGGGTCGGAGGAAGCACCTGATCCAGGGGCGAAGCCTCCTTTTTGAGGCGCCTCAATAAAAGCTTCTGCAATTTCATTTCAGAGCGGTTGGTCGGAATCACCAGATGCAGAAGCAAAGTGTCCTTCACCCTTTTCAGGAGCCGTGCTCGCTTGGCACATGAAGGGTGGAAGATCACAATAAATTGCACAGCACGTGCACCCTACATAATGTATTGTAGTTTTGGCATGTGTTGTCTCTGTAATTTAAATGGTTCTTGCTGGACAAAGACATTGGACATCATTGAACGACATTCCCATGATCGAATAAATTCTTAGCCTAATCAAGCTTTGTGATCTCCTTATTACAGATCGATTAGCCTTTGAGAATGCGGTGACAACCTGAGGTAGACGCCAGATGGTTGCCCTCAGATTCTTGGCATGCATTCTTTCTGTAAATGAAAGTCAACACGCCTAAAGTAAGTGGTGTACCATTTGACTTCAAATAATACGCAAGTAACGTACTCTGACTCTATCGAGTACCATTCAACCCTCGTGAACCGCCCCCCGATGCCCAAACACACATCCCGTAAACCCTAAAAGCCTGATTGGGTTGGTTGGGAATTACCCTGAATTGCAGCACGCACCAGCGTGGTATCGCCACCCCGTGCATCGCGGATTAGCGTTTCCTTGGGCCAATCGCCACAGTGTTCTCACTCGTTGCGGGGATTCGCGCAGGCGAATTACGCTCCGCGCAGCTGCGTTCAGTTCAATTGCTTTGTGTTTCTTGCGTTCAGCCGCATTCAGCCCTCTTCGGCTGCGTTCAGCCGCATTCGCTGTGTGTTTTTTCTTCTGCAGACCTCCTCAAGAGCATTTGGATAAACCTTTGAAACAATGCAGAATCTGGTGGTTTCCACCGAAACCCGCTACCGCATTCCCCTCGCACCACGGCCGTCCGATTCAGTCTTTCACCCGGATGCGAGATCTGATGGCGTCAGCCATGCTAGCTTACAGGGCAGCGGGGATTTCGCAGAAGGGCTCGGTTTGGAGCGGTTGGTTGCGGTGGCATGGGATACGGAGGGGTCTGTAGTGTATGGCGTCACGGACGAGTGCACTATCTACGGTCTAGATTTAACCACGAGTCGGCTCCTATTCGAGTATCCCTTAGTACTCTCTGGCGATCTGCCCATCCCAGACAGAATCGTATCCGCGCGCTACCTGCCATCACATGCCGCCCTCTTTTTGGCGTTTTCCCGAGGGGAGATGGGGCTGTTTTGTCCCCCAGCCAAGGCGGGGGAAGGGATCGGCGGAGCGATGGGGGGAGCGGAAGGGGGGATGGACGGGAGCGGAAGGTTTGAGATAGTGGGGGAGCTGACGGGGGGGCTGGCGGCGGTGGTGTGGGCGCCAGACGAGGAGGAGGTGGCGGTGGTGACTGGGGCGGGGCGATTGCTCACCATGACTAGCGACTGGCAGGTGAGGGTTCAATGCATTATGCATGGCATATGTAGTTTATCGTGTAGCATACTCGGCAGTGGTGTGGGCACCAGATGAAGAGGAGGAGGAGGTGGCGGTGGTAACTGGGGCAGGGCGATTGCTCACAATGACTAGCGACTGGCAGGTGAGGGAAAGGATATTTCTTGGAAAGGGGTCCGAGCAAGCTAAGGGTTTAGAGCTTATCCAGGGTCTATGTAGGGGTTGAGCGAATGTTGCCACGTGGCATGCATTCATGAGTGTGCTGATGGAGCTTCTGAGTCCACGTGGCATGCGTGCAACAACACTTGTTCGTTGCCACGTGGCATGCGTGCATGCAGGTTCTGATGGAAGTGCCTCTGGAACAACACGAGCCACACGCTACACCCACTGAGGTCAGTGCTTTCAACTCTTGAGGCGACTTTTGAGGCGCTTCAAAAAAGAATTGCGGGTAGAGAGACAACTTTTGAGGCGCCTCAAATGCTGATGGAAGTGCCTCTGGAACAACACGAGCCACACGCTACACCCACTGAGGCCAGTGCTTTCAACTCCTTCCGTTGCTCGTTTCGTGCATCCTGTTTGCCATTTCTGTTGCTGCCGTTGTTGCTGCTGGTGTTGCTGTCTCCGTTCCCTTCTATCCCTTCACCTCTCTCGCCCTTTCTCGTGCTCCACGCTCCCCCTCTCCTTCCCCTCACACCACTCCTTCCCCTCTCACCCTTCCCTCACCTCCCACCTGCTCCTCCCACAACTTGTTCTTCTCTATCACTTCTCTCTCTTTCATGTTCTTCCTATCAGGGCCTCTCAGCCAATCAACAGCTGCCACCTGGCACGTACGGCCCAGGTGACGTGTCGTTGAGCTGGCGTGGAGATGGAAAGTTCTTCGTAACTTCCAGCAGAAGATCGCCAAGAGGAGGAGGAGAGGAGAGAGGCGGAGGAGGAGAGGAGGAGAGAGGAAGTGAGGGAGAAGGTAGGGTAGACGATAGGAGTGAGGAAGTTGAGAGGAGGTGGGTAGTGCGAGTGTGGGAGAGGGAGAATTGCTCCCTGCATTCCGTTGCTGACGTGGCATGTGGGGACCACCTGACGGGGCCTGCTGCGTGGCAGCCAGCTGGCGCGCTGATAGCCGCTGCTGCCTGCAAGTTGGAGGAGGGAAAGGGGGAGGAGAGAAAAGAGGAGGAGAGAGGAGGGAAGGAGAGAAGAGGGGAAGAGAGGGCGAGGGGTGGAACGTCGGTTCTGCCTGTTAAAGACGCCTCGTTTCCCGAAGCTGGGTCTGTGCGGCCGGTGGGAGGGGCAGGGCGGGGGAAAGGAGAAGGAGAGAAGGGGGGAGGCGGTGGAGGAGGAGGAGGGGATGTAAGTCTGAGGGCATCAGCATCAGCATGCGTGCATGAAATTGTGTTCTTTGAGAGAAACGGGCTCGAGAGAAACCGCATGCAGCTGGCAGGGCTGCCCCGCCCACAGCCGGAATTGAACCCGGGACCTTTCAGTTGTCATTCTTCCCTAGCTGGCGCTGGTTGCCCCTGCTGTGGCTGCCACGTGGCAGCAATTGACTGGAGCAGCGACTCCCAGCTGCTGAGCGTGGCAGTGGAGACCCGTGATTGGCTGGCCGTTCAAGTATACTACCGATGCAACTACAAGTGGTATTTGAAGCACGAGTGCCGCACCAATAAGGCCCACCCCCACCTATCCGCACCCGCTCCCTCCCTACCCTCTCTCCCCCTCCTACCTTCTTTCCTCTGGCACCCGGAAGCCCCCTCCTCCGCCCTCGCCTTCTCCCCCCTCGGGATCATCTCAGCCGTCCATTTCATCTGGACGGCTGGCGCTCTTGCACCCGGCAATCCCACCGTTGCTGTGATCGACGGCCAGGATTTGAGGATCTCGTCGCTGCTGCTGCATGGGGGGAACGGGGGTGCAGGGGGAAGGGGGAGCGGGGGGGGCGGGGGGGGAAGGGGAGGACTCATCCCCCCGCCGTACTGCCATAGGGTGGAAGGATTTCCGGCTGCTGTGGTGGCGGTGGCGGGTGCTGAGCTGGCAGGTGGTGACGTGGCAGGGTTTGATTGGTGGGAGGAGAGCAGCGATGTGGTTGGTGTGCAGAGTGGTACGGAGGGGTGTGGAGCAGTCCAAAAGGGTAAGAAGGGCGGAGTTGAGATTGTGGGAGCGGTGCTTTCGAATGGTGATGTGGGGGTGGTGGTTAGACCAGAGGGGTGTGAGTGGATGGATGAGGAGGAGGAGGAGGAGGAGGGAGAGGGAAATGAGATAGTCGAAGAAGGGGAAGGAGAGGAAGAGGAAGATGATGATGAGGAGGATTTTCCACAGATCAAGCGATTCATCGCTACTCTAGAAAGCAGCAGCAACACCACCAGTAGCAACACTGACACCAGCACCACTAGAACCAGCAGCAGCAGCACAAACAGCAGCGGCAATTACAGCATCATCACGCGGACTGACATTGCTCGCATGCGCCATGCAGCGTGGCTCTCCCCCACCCGCCTGGTGGGAGTCATTGCTGTCCCTCAGAATGAAGGGACTCTAGACCAGGCTGTATCCGAGCAGGCTTTATCTGGGCAGCCTGTATCGGGGCAGACTTTCTCTGGGCAGGCTGTTTCGGGGCAGGCTTTATCTGGGCAGGCTGGTTCGGTTGACTTTGCTGACCTGATTGTAGAGCTCGAGTTGCGGCGATTTAGTGGGGATAGGGGAAATGGCAGAGAGGGTGGCAGCAGCGAGAATGTGAGTGGAGGAGAGGGAGGTTCTAGAGGGGGTGCGGAGGGGGAGGTGCAGAGAGCAGTGATGAGTGTGGTGGGGGTGGTGGGGCTGAAACAGAAGGTAGTGGGTATGGCCCGGGGCACTTGTGCTGCTGTGCACACTGTTTCTGCTCCGGCTGCTGCTGTGCATACTGTTTCTGCTCCGAATGCTGCTGTGCTGAAGGGAGGAAACGCAGTGGAAGAGAGGAAAGAGCATCTGTATTGGCAGCAGCAGCAGCAGCAGCAGCAGCAGCAGCAGCAGCAGCAGCAGGGGCAGCAGCAGCATGCTGTTAAGAGTGGGGCATCGGTTTTCCTCTCTCTCTCCGACGGTTCTCTCCTTCGCTACCTCTCCTCTTCCTCCTCCACCATTCCCTCTGCCTCCCATGCACCCTCTTCCCTTTCTCCCACTCCCTCGTCCCTCATCCCGCCGTCAAAGGAGCTGGTGCTTCGGTTCCCCGAGCCATGCCCTTGGATTGCTGTGGTGGAGGCGAGGGCTCAAATCCAGCCGTCGTCATCATTAAAATCGACTGCAGAATTATCAAAAACAACAGCAGCAGCAGCAGCAGCACCTGTGGTGGTTCTATTTGTGGGGCGATCACATAAAGGGCGTCTGTATGTAGGTTCTGCCACTCTCCCTGGTAACCCAACAACTGGAGCGGTAACCAGGTTACCACAGGCACCCGAGGCCACGGCAGTGTGTGGCGACTGCTCATCCTTCGTGCTCCACTACATGGCAGTTCCCAAGGCCCCCGGAGTTCCCAAGGCTGAGTTAGCGCACCAATCAGATCCTATCACGGCAATACAGGCCTTATCCCCATGCCACGTCATCACCCTAGTCTTCACTACAGTGTCGGGCGCTATAGTCACACGGGACCTGCTTGCTTTGTCTCTAGAGGCGGGTTCTGGTTCCCAGGGAGCACCTGGAGGCGCAGGTGGTTCTTCAGGTGTTTTCTCAGGTGCTTCTGTTGCGCTCCCAGGTGCACTCCCAGGCAGGGTGTCGGAGGAGGGGACGAGGGCAGGAGTGGGCGGGCCGGCTGGCAGCAGAAAAGGACAAAAAGGGAAGGTGTCTTCATCATTGCTGTCTTGTCCTTTGTGGGAAGGGGGGGCGGTCCTGGTGGCAGGGCTTGGGCGGCTGAGAGTGGGAGGGGATGAGAGAGTGGAGAGGGGGGGAGAGGACGAGGGGGAAGAGGGAGAGGAGGAGGAAGAGGAGGAGGAGGATGGGGAGGGGGAGCCGGCAGTGGTTCTCCAGGCGACACGTGGCAGTCTGGAATTGGTCTACCACCGGGCGCTCGTGCTCCGGGCGGCGGGGCTGCTGCTGAGTCAGCGCCGCTTCCGGGCGGCTGCTGAGCTGGCGCGCCGGCACAGGCTGGACCCAAACGTGCTTGTGGATTTCGGCGGGTGGAGATCATTTGCTGGTTTGGGAGGGAGAACGACATTCAGCGGGGAGCAGAGTGAAGCGGCCTTGAATGGGGTGCAGGGGGGAGTGGTGGGCAGTAGTGGGGTGCATGTGGGTTCTGGGACTAGTGGAGCGAGGGAGTTTCTGCGGCAGGTGGGAGAGCCGGGGCTACGGCACGTGAGTGAGGTGATCTATGGTCTGAGAGAGGAGGATGTGGCAGCGAGAGGGGGAATGTATGGTGAGGTGCTGGCGGGGATGAGAGGAGAGGTAGGAGAAGGGGGAGGGGAAGGGGGAGGAGGGGGTGGAGAGGGAGGAGGTGGAGAAGGGGAGGGGGTAAAAGGCAAGGTGACAGCTGTGTGCACGGCTCTCCGGGCGGCGCTAGAAGACGTGCTGCCGCCCGGCGCCGTCCGGGACACGTGTGTGCTGAGCACGTATGCGTGCAGTGTGCCGCCCAGGCTGGAAGAAGCCCTGTTGCGCATCAAAGCAAAGCGGAGCTCTGATGATCAAGTGGTTTTGTCTAAAGACAGGTCAAAAGATGAGCATGCGGGTCTGTCAAAAGATGAGCGTGCGGGTCTGTCAAAAGATGAGCGTGTGGATGGGTCCAGGTCTGCACCCACTCGCCAACCTGCAGATCAACCTGAACCCACTCGCCAACTTGCAGATCAACCTGAACCCACTCGCCCCACCCCTCTCCTCGCCCTCTCAGTGGAAGCTTCCTTGAAGCATCTCATGTGGCTGACCACCCCAGACCACGTCTTTAACTCCGCATTAGGCCTCTACGATTTAAACCTCGCTGCGTTAGTAGCCGCCCACGCCCACTCCCAGAAAGACCCCAAGGAGTTCCTCCCGAACCTCCGAGGCTTGGCCGCCGAGCCTCCGCCGATCCGGCGGCTCAGGATCGATGTGAGGCTCGGGAGGCTGGAAGGGGCGGTTGGCCAGCTGGTGGCCTCTGATTCGCCGCTGATGGTAGCTTCTGATTCGCTGTTGGTAGGGAGAGGAGAGGAGGGGAAGGGAGAGGAGGAAAAGAAAGAGGAGCAAGTGAGGGAGCAGGGCAAGGGAGAGGGGAGTGAGGCAGCAGGGCAGGAGGCGAGGAGGCTAGTAGAGGAGGTTATGGCATTGCTGCGAGCACACCCTGATAGACTGTTTCCTGTTGCTGCTGCTGCCACTGCCACAGCTATCGCCTCTCACCCCTCCCTCTCATCCTCCTCTTTGTCAGATTCCTCTGCTGCTTCTCTCGCTGCTTCTTCCACACCTACCATTGCTTCGGTCCGAACCTCCATTCTCAACCAATGGGCAGAGCACCTCTTTTCCCGAGCCTCCGAGGCCTCGCTTCCCGAAGCTGCGCTTCTCTTTACCGGAGCTAACAACCTGCCTCGTGCGCTCCAGGCCTACCGCCAGGCTGGGCAGTGGCGCAAGGCGCTTACCACTGCAGCCAGGCTCGGTCTCCCCGAACCTGAGGTTCGGAAACTCGCACAGGAGCTTCGGGAAGAGCTTGTCGAGGTTGGGAGGAGGGCGGAAGCCGGGCGGCTGGCGATTGAGTACGAGGGGGATTCGGGCGGCGGAATTCGTCTTTTAGTGGAGGCGCATTGTTGGGAGCAGGCAGCGGAGGAGGCGGGGAGGAGTGGACAGGTGTCGCTTCTTGATTCGCTGATCGTTCCAGCATCAGTGGAAGCAGCAAGGGGCATGCTAACAGACATGGATGAAACACAGGGGAAAATAACAGCCTATGTTCGCCGGTTCGGTGCAGTTCGGTGCAAACGGGTGCAGATGGAGGAGAAGCTCAAGGCCGAGAGGTTGGAGAGGGAGGAGGTGGAGAGGAGGAGGAGGGAGGAGTATGGGGAGGCGTATGGGGGAGGGGGGATGGGGATGGATGAGGCTTCAGAAACTGCATCTATGGCATCGAGTGATGTGGGGAGCATGGCTAGCGGCGTTACTGGCTTGAGTGCCTACACTGCAGGGTAAGCAAGTGCACTATATCGTGAGTATCTTTATAGCATAATAAGTGAACCATGATGTAGGGAGCATGGGTAGAGGTGCCACGGCCAGGAGAAGCACACACAACCCCTACCACCACACGTAGCTTCCACTCCTTCCTCCCTCCATCCCCTTGCCTTCTCCGTCTTTCAATCACCCACAGCTCTTCGTCTCGTGTGTGCACGGCCAGTGGGTGGACCGCCACGAGCAGGTTGTGAGGTTTCTCAGCCCGCTTTCCCTTTCCCCACCGCCTTCCCTTCCCTTCATCCCACCCCCCACTTCCTGCCACAGCTCTTCGTCTCGTGTGAGCACGGCCAGTGGATGGACCGCCACGAGCAAGAAGACGGGTGGTAGGGCGGCCAGGAGAAAACAACAGAAGGCTGACAAGGGGAGGCGGATTCGAGCTGGCAGGTCAGATGAAGGGTCGTGCTTGGGGAAGGGAACGGGGGGTTCTGGGGTGGGCAAGTGTGCTACTCAAGCACTTTTGGGGTTGGGGAATGACTGCAAGGGTGCCTGTCCATCATTTTTTTTGGGGGGGAGGGGAGGGGGGGGGGGGGGGGGGGGGGTTAAGAAAATAAATACCACTAATATTAAAAAATATCACTAGAAGTGTGCTAGTGAAGCACATGCACATGCTCAGGCGCTCAGTTTTTGGAGCTGACAAAACAAACCCTTTTGCTGCTTCTCTTTTACATTGGCCCAGTCCTGATGAGGAGCAAGCACTGGCAAATTCAGACGCTTTGACCCACTTTCGTTTTCGCCGACTCGTGCATATCGTTTTCCCATTCCCTGGCTTCTCTCCTCCATTGCTCCTCCCAGTCCTGACGAGGAGCAAGCACTGGCTGGGCACATTCACATGCTTCACCCTGCCTTTTACTCAGCTGACTCGTCATAAACCTCTCCCTCCCATTCCTTACTCACATCTCTCTTCCAATGCCCCATTCCAGTCCTGACGAGGAGCAAGCACTGGTCGAGCATGTTTGCACCTTCGGCCCGTCAGTTGCTGCTTATAGCTGACTCGTACCCCCCTCCCCCCCCCCACCCTTCACCCCCCTCTCCTTTCCTTCTTCTCTTCTCCCTCCCATTCCAGTCCTGACGAGGAGCAAGCATTGGTCGAGCACATTCGCATGCTCGGCCCCTCCTCCCAAACCTTGGAGGAGGTTCGGCAGCTGCTGGAGCTGCTGACAGGCTCGGGGCACGAGCCTTTGGCTCGGAGGCTTCAGGCGCGGGTGGGGGCTATAATCGCCACTCATACGGCAGCTGTTGCGGAGGTGGAAGCAGCTCTTAAAGAGGATAGACTGAAGGCAGCGGTAGAATCTGAGGGGGTTTTACATTCCAATGCTGCTGGAGATGCTGCAGCAGAAGCGGGTTTGGCTTCTTCTACAAAGAAAGACGTGAAATGGAAGTGGGAGGTCCTAGAAGGCATTTAATCACATTGCAATATCCTGAAGCAGCTTTTTTTTCCACATCTTGTATGGGAAACGTTTGTAACAGTGAAGTTCTACACGAAAATATAGGAGTATTTAAACAGCACGAAGGGGGAGACGAACCGGCACTTTGTAACCGGATTCCATTCAACAATTCGCCTCCAACCCAAACCTGGGCTCGGTGAGTCGGCGCTCCTCCTCGGCCGCAAAAGCCCCGCCAATACTGCTTTCAATTCGCGCCCCCCTCGCCCATTCCGCAACTCGCCCCGCATTCGCCCCAATCGATCCGCCATCTCTCTTCGCGCTACACTGCACTGATTCTCAGAAAATATCTCAATTCTCGATCCAACCTCTCTCGTCCCTACTCGAGCAAGCCAACAGCTCTATCTATCACCGTTGCGGATGCATCTCGCAGGCAGCGACGCAAGTATCGCACAAGTAGTATTGTACACGGTATTCACCTCACGTATGGGGGCGTATAGAGTGCGCGGCGCTGTCATGTTGTTAAGCGTCGAGGACTCGAACTCCTGGTGCGCGCTAGTGCAGCAACTTCTCCGCTGCAGCGCTCCGCGCGGAATCTCGGAGGCGTCATCGCGGCAACGCTCAGGGTTACATGCAAATGTCGAGTGATATTATAGAAAGGATCGAGCTTATTGGCTAAATCGACACAAACAGTCGGTTGCTGGTCGCTACTAGTCACGTTTTCGAGTCAACTCAACAACTGTCACTGTAAAGTACTAGTAAGGCCCTTCTTCCCCCAACTCGCTGCGCGAAAACTGACCAACTGCTTCGCCCCGTTCTCGCCAACGCCTCGTCTGAGAGTGCTCCCCAACCTCGCACGCGGGGCCGTTTCTTGACAGTAGGATGCGTCAACTGCACCAATAGGATTCAAAGAGCCGGACTAGGACGCATGATGATGATGAGTGATGCGCGCTTCCACTCATCAATCCGCGCGCTGCGCTGCGCTGCGCTGCGCGCGGGCAAAACGAGTTGGGGCGTCTGCGCGCTGCACTCGCGTTTCGGGCTCGCCGGGTGGGTATATAGGTAGCGAGCGTGAGCTAGTTCAGCCACACCGTCTTCATTCCGGCGAGATTCGAAGCTGTCGAGTTCTCCCGTCTCCACTGAGAAAGGGTGTTTTCCTAATCAATTAACACTCATTTATACTCTTGTACTCATTTATTGAGAAGGCTGTGCGTTAGGTCGCTCCCGACCTTGGGAAGACTTTGAAAATGGCCGTCCGCGCGCGAAATGCGGCTACCCCGTGGGTGGTTTTCGCGAGCAGCGCCGGCGTCGCTGCGCTGCTGGTTGCGTGTCTCCTGAGCGAAAGCGGGGCGAACTTCGCGAACGCGCAACCCGCGCCCGCGGGGGACCCCGACTGGGTGGCGCAGATGCTGCAGACCACCGACTCAGTGGGTGCGGAGACAGACGCGCAACCCGCCCCCGCGGATCTCGGCTGGGTGGAGCAGCTGATGCCGAATTCTGATTGGTCGGCGCAAGACGCATCCGCGCAAGGCCCCCCCGCGGAAATCCCCCCCGCGCAAGGCGAACCCCCCGCGGACGATCCCGACTCGGATGACCAGGATGAGGAGGACGATTCGCGTCCTGAATTTGCTGGAGAAATTGACCCCGAAGACTCGGAAGGTCAGGCGGAGCCTGACTGGGAGGCGCAGATGCAGTCGATCCTCCAGCAGGTGGCCAATCGCACCTTCCTCTCCTCCTTCGGCCAGATCTTCGCCAGCTTCTGTGAGTTCTTAACCGCTCTGAACCGTTCTGAGCCCCGTCCCGCCTTCTTCACCCCCTTCCCCCGCGGAGGTGCCTGGCTGGGAGGCGCAGATGCAGTCGATCCTCCAGCAGGTGGCCAATCGCACCTTCCTCTCCTCCTTCGGCCAGATCGTCGCCAGTTACTGTTGAGTTTTCAATCGTTTTGAACCTCTCTGTATCCATTTCCAGTCCAATCGGGGTGCCTGTTCATTGGCCAGGATCTGATTCCTTCCCATCCCCACCAGCGTCTCTCTTCATTGGCCACTGGTGCCACCTCACCCAGTGTCCCACCTGGCACCTTATCGCTCATTTCAATCCTTTTATCTCTCCCTCCCCTCTTCCCCTCTCTCTATTTCTCCCTCCACCAGTCCAATCTGAACAGGAACTGCCTCACTCCGAGTCTAATTGCTCTTACACCTCCCATTCCTATCCGTTTTGTCAACTCTTTCCAATCCTCCCTCCACCAGTCCAATCGGAGCAACTGTATATCGATCAGGATGCAACTATCCTCATCCCCACCAACGTCGGCTACTGGCGCTACGAAACCCAGTGGGACACACTCACCCGCAAGCAGAAGCGTCGGTTACTCCGTTACCACATTCTCAAGGGGCGTTACACCACGCAACAGCTTCTTGACGCCGCCCCCCTCACCCTCTTCCCGACTTTTAACCAGAACCTGCCGGTGAACAAGACTCTTAAGCCGAACGAAGTGTATTTCCAGTCGGTTCCGCCGACGAGGTTCGTGTCGCCGCTGAGCGTGCCGAATGCGGGACTGACAGATAACATTGCTGCGCATGGCGTGACGATGGTGCTCATTCCGCCCAACCTCAACTAGACGAATTTGTCTTCTTGCAAGAAGAGGCGATGCGCTGAGCATGCCGAATGCCGGGCTGACAGATAACATAGCTGTGCATGGAGTGACAATGGTTCTCATTCCGCCCAACCATTCGTCCTCTTGCAAGAAGTGGTGCTATCCACTTGGTAGCAATCCGAAACAGCTAAGCGCTTGTTTTGGAGTATAGAGGGTCCATAAGCCAGGGATTGGCCGGGGGGATGGAGTGAGCGATGCTGGATGGAAGTTGTGATGTTTGGGAGCAGGCTTTATGAATAAAGAGACGGACAATAAATTCCACTATGGAGTTAATGAATGATGGCACATGCATTCCACCTTCGAAAAAACTGTTGTAGAATGCATTCAATGGACTGAACACTCCAATCGAGCATGCTTACCACACATGCTTACCGCACCGTACCGCACCGCATCGTACCCTAAACAAGAAATCCGTTCCAGTAGAATTCACTATCACATTAACTCTCTTGTTGATCACATTGTTTTGAGTTCAGTCACATTCGTTTACATTACCTTTTCCAGCTAACTCGATTACTTTCTATTCTGTAGGAAACGTCAGTATTAGTGTATCAAATTGTGAATGGTAGGCGTGTTAGCGTTATCGAGGTTTAGCGTTATCGTTACGTCTCGCATGGTTTTTATCCGACTGTGGAGTGTGGCGACGATTTTCACCGTGAAGCGAAAATGGTTACATGCCTTCATTACTCAAGTCAGATATCGTGAAGCGGGAGACGAAGCGGCACTCCGTTACCGAGTTCCCATACAATGTTCGCCTCCAATCTTTGGCTCGATATGGTCTCCTCGTCACCTGCCAACTCTCGACAGTCCCGCATTCATTTCGCGTCGTCCTCGTCAATTCCCCCAATTGGCCCCACGTTTCGCCCCCCCGACCGATCTGCCTCGTTCGCGCCACTGCTTTCTCTGTCTCTCTACTTCCTCGCGCGTCCCTACTCAGCAAGCCAGCAACCCTAACGTTGCAGTTGCATCCCGCAAGCCACAAGTACCATACGAGTTTTTGCCTCACGTATGGGTGCACCAAGTGCACTGCGCTATCTTGCCGTCAAGCGCCCGAGAACTCGGAATCCTGGTGCGCGAGAGTAGGAACTTCTTCGCTGCAGCGCGCCGATGCCGCGTGATCTCGGCGGCGCCATCACGGCAACGCCCAGAGCTCCGTGCAAGTGTCGAGTGACATTATAGACAGGATAGAGGTTATCGGACAAAGCGACAAAACAGTCAGTTTCTGGTCTGCTAGTGTCACGCGCTCGATTCAACTCAACAAACGCACTCGGCTCAACCGTCGACTATAAACTGAATCCGCCATCGCTCGTCGCGCCGCCCCTCTCATAGCGGAAACTTACCAACTGTTCCCCCCCGTTTCCTTTAAACGCCTCCTCCGAAAACGCTCACGTCTCCCTTTGAGAACCGAGCCGATCATACGGCAGGCGACAGGATGCCTCAACATCAACTTGTTGCGTGGCGCGGTCCCGTCGCCGTAGGATTCGGCCAGTCAGACTGGTTGGCGACAGCGACGCGGGGCCGGGCGCATGATGAGTTGGGCGTCTGCGCGCTGCTCTCGCGTTTCGGGCTCGTCGGATGGGTATATAGGTACTAGCAAGCGTAAGCGACTTCAGCCACACCATTCAGCGAGATTTGAAGCTGTTGATTTCTCCTGTTTCCACTGAGTGAATCCTTTTCCCCTTCTCATTTATTAAGAAGGCTGTGCTTTAATTTCCTCCCGACCTTGGGAATATTCTTCGAAAATGGCCATCTGCGCGCGAAATGCGGTTACCCCGTGGGCGGTTTTCGCTAGCAGCGCCGGCGTCGCCGCGTTGCTGGTCGCGTGTCTCCTGAGCGAAAGCGGGGCGAACATCGCGAACGCGCAACCCGCGCCCGCGGGGGACCCCGACTGGGTGGTGCAGTGGCTACAGGGCACCGAGCCAGACGCGCAACCCGCCCCCGCGGCTCTCGGCTGGGCGGCGGAGCTGGTCCAGAGCTCTGATTCGCCGGCGCAAGAAGCTGTGCAACCCGCGGAACCCACGCAACCCGCGCAAGGCGGCCCTCCCGCGGACGATCCTGACTCCGACGATCAGGATCAGGAGGACGATTCCTCGACCGCGGGGGAGCCTGACTGGGAGGCGCAGATGCAGTCGATTCTCCGGCAGGTGGCGAACCAGACGTTCCTCAACAACTTCGCCCAGGACTTTACCTTCTTCTGTAAGTTTCCAACTGTTTTGAACCGCTCTGAGCAACCCCCCACGGAGCCTGACCGGGCGGCGCAGATGCAGTCGATCCTCCAGCAGGTGGCGGATCGGACGTCCTCCTCTTTCCACCAATTTTTTTATTGTTATTATTACTGTGAGCTGTATCGTTCTGAACCGTTGTGCACCCGCCT